TCTAAAATTGGTCTTAAATACACCTTTCTATATGTTGACATGGCAGTGTCACTTTTCGTATGCTTAGGCAGCAACATGGCATGTTACTTGGTGTGTAGAGTTTTTCATCCTTTTTGTCCTTATTTTGTTTCGAATCTTAGAAAACTTTGAACATGAAATTTGTAGTATATTATATTAGCTTTCCATGAATACTTGAATCACCTTAAATGGACTTCATATGAAGAAGATATGACTAAAACACTATCAGCATATTGCAAAATGGTATCCTTATATTGTGTTAGATTCTTCATGATTTTTCGGCCTTGATCTGCTCGAATCTCTGAAAGCTACACAAAAATTGTATAGGTTTTCCTTGACTTTCCATTGACACTTCAACTACCTCAATTGGACGTCGCAGAGTGTCTTGTTTTATCATTCTTTCTTAGAAATTATTGAAAATCAAATGTTAATGAAGGACTAAGCGCCATATTCTATCAAGCTAAACAGGAAATAGGTCAAATTGATATCAAATAGCTATTTGAAATAAGGTGCATTTGAGCACTTATCGCCTTATCGGTAACCAAACACAATGGATTTATTAACAATAATTTTTTTTCTAAAAGACCACAATTAAAAATTGTTGTCAATGTACATTTTTCTTTTAGTGAACAAATTTGAACATTTTCTAAAATTGCTTAACGAAACAAATTTGTGTGCCAAATGTAGTAGTAAACAATATGTCTTAGGATTTTTTATTTTTTATTTTATTCACGGTGCATTTACGACATTAGATATAAGATTACTATTGAAGCGATAGTCTATGTATAAAATTGTTAGCGAGACAAAGTTCGAGAAATATTTTTGGATGTTTTTGTTATGTCTTTTGATTTAAGTGCACTAAAAAATCCTTTCAAAACAAAAAACAAAAAGTGCACTAAAAAAAAAAAAAGAAGAAGAAGATAAAAGTGCAAAATATAAGTTACAAATGTGCAAAGTGAGAAAGTTAGAAGTGCACATTTCAAAAGTATAAAATTGCATGATTAAAATATTAAAGTGCACTATAAATAAAAATCGTACCACACATTAACTAAAAGTGCAAGAATGTCAAATGTGTATTACGAAGCAGTTAACAGTACTATGAATAACAAAAATGCACAGAAAAAATTAAAAAGGCCTGATATATCTTGTCAAATGTGTTTATTGTGCATTCTTTTTTATTGATTTTTAAATCAAATCAAACAACTATTAATGGTAAAATAAATTAAAATTGGCCTATAAACTAACTAATTATTTTACCAAATAGGACCTTTATCATTGTGCACATGTGTCATTATTATATATATATATATATATATATATATATATATATATAGTGTGAGAGAGAGAAATTAAAGTCCAGTTCATATGAAAAGTGAGAACTTGAGGTCTAATTCGGGTTGTCCATTAGGCAAGATCTAATGTCTAAGATTTAATGTTTTTTAACCATTTTTTTTTAACAAGTAACTAGTTACTGGTGTAAATAAAATCATTATAAAGCGCAACCTTTAACACTATAGAGTGCAAGTAATTAACTTTCACATTCAGTGCAACTAAATATAACATTAGGTGCACTACTTAATATTATTTCTCATGTGTACTTTATATTCTTGCACTCAAATATGGTGTAACATTATCCATTTACACCATTTCGGTGTAGAACTTTTTAATAACTTTTTGCCAATTGTTTCCTTATTGATAATAAATTTTTTAAAGATTTAAAGATCATTTAAAACGAGATCAAACCAAGACTATATGGTTTAATGGTATTTGGGTTGGACTTCCATTTTGAAGGTTGTGAGTTCGAGTCTCAGTGGAGGCGTTACTGATTTTTTGTGTTTCAGTAGGTTGAGAAAGTATAATATTTCTTTTAGGGAGCGTTTGGTTCAAGTCATCTTTGATTACCTAGGTAATCCAAGTCTGGTAATGTTATATTACCTTGTTTGGTTCAAGTTATGAGATTACTTGGTAATGTTATATTACCTGAAAGCTGATGTGGCGGTAATGTTTCAAGTAAATGTGATTACCCCCATTTTTTTAAGGTAATTTTAGATTACCTTGAATTATTCCAACTTTGATCTTGTTAACTACTCCCTATCCTTAGGGAAAAGGGTCAAATTGGCCCTCGAACTTTAGCTTAAAAGTCAATTAGACCCCTAAACTTTTTAAAGGTGCAATTACACTCATCAACAATTCATTTAGGTGCAATGAAGCCCAAAAACAAGTTAATGACCTGCTATCACAGGTCATTAGGGTTCAGGCCATCTTCTGGCAAATCTGGTAAAAAAAAAAAAGTGACCGACGAACGGTCGCCGCCAGTCACTTTTTTGCCGGAAATTTCGCCGGTTACTTTTTTTTTTTTTTGCCGGAAATTTCGTGAGAAGGTGGCCTGAACCCTAATGACCTGTGATAGCAGGTCATTAACTTGTTTTTGGGCTTCATTGCACCTAAATGAATTGTTGATGGGTGTAATTGTACCTTTAAAAAGTTTAGGGGCCTAATTGACTTTTAAGTTAAAGTTCGAGGGCCTATTTGACCTTTTTCCCTAATAATAATAATAATAATAATAATAATAATAATAATAATAATAATAATAATAATATATTTATACTATAAAATATACATGTGTATATTTATATATTCAGTTTTTTAATATTTGAACATTGATATACATTCATACATATAAATAAATAAATAAAATAAATACACACACACACACACACACACACACACACACACACACACACACACACACACACACACACACACACACACACACACACACACACACATATATATATATATATATATATATATATATATATATATATATATATATATATATATATATATATATATATATATATATGAGGAGATTCATATAACCTAAAATATAACCCTTAACCAAACACGGTAATATTATATTCCACAATCCAAACCAAACATATAAGGTAATCTTACATTCCGATAATCTCACATTACCTTCCTAGAGGTAATCCTATTTCCTGGGGTAATCTAAGATTTCGTGAACCAAACGCCCCCTTAGTGTAAAATTTGGTGTTTTGTGTTAAGAGATTGCTTATGAAATACAATAATTATTGTGTGGACCATATTATCAAATAATGATCATTCAGATGAGATAACTATTCTGATCATTTAATCCCAAAAGGATAGGAGTTACAATATGAAAGCAATAACAACTAACGTAAGATAATCTTATCTAACAGGAAAACCATATAAAATAAACATACTACAAAGCTAGTCAAAGATAATTAATAACAATAATAATAATATGGCTAACACACCCCTCAAGCACAAGGGTGGTGTGCAACCACATTGAGCTTGTCACGTAGCAGAGCGAACCACGGCCCTGGTAGTGGTTTGGTGAAGATGTTAGCCAACTGATCCTTCGTAGACACAAAGTTGACCACCAGGTCACCAGAGGCAACCTTATCCCGGACGAAGTGAAAATCAATCTCGACATGCTTGGTCCGGGCGTGAAAAACGGGATTAGCACACAGGTAGGTGGCGCCCAGATTGTCACACCAGAGAGTAGACGGTTCGCCAGAGTGAAGACCTAGCTCACGGGGGAGGGAAACAACCCATGTGACCTCGGTCGAGACATGTTCGAGGGCTTTGTATTCGGCTTCAGTTGACGAGCGTGCGACTGTACGTTGCTTTCTGGATAGCCATGAAATTAGGTTGGTGCCAATGAAAACAGCATAACCACTCGTGCTCTTCCTGTCCTGTGGGCCGCCGTCCCAATCCGAGTCCGAGAAAGCATGAACAGTGGAGGAGGTGGAGACGGAGAGTCGTAAGCCGTAGTCCAGTGTGCCTTTGATGTAACGTATCACACGCTTGAGTAGAGCCTAATGATCAACTATCGGAGAGTGCATGAACTGACACAAGCAATTGAACGCATAGGCTAGATCCGGCCATGTAATGGTTAAGTACTGCAGCGCTCCGACAATGCGCCTATACTGAGTCGGGTTGTCAAAAGGTTGATCAGACGGGGAAACAGGTTGATTGACGATAGCTGGAGTGGCCAGTCATGCAATCAGGGAAACAGGTTTGCAATCAGTCATGCCTGCGCGGCTCAGAATGTCCTTCATATAGCGACGCTAAGAAAGTATAATCCCAGTATCAGTCTTGAGAGTCTCAATGCCGAGGAAGAAACTGGGAGTGCCAAGGTCGCGTATCTTAAAAGTTGTGGATAGACAGTCGAACAGAGTAGTAATAAGAGCGGGGTCATTCCCCATCATAATGATGTCGTCAACGTAAACAAGCAAGTACACCCGAGATACACCAGTAGAGTGATAGAAGAGAGAAACATCGGTTTTGGACGCCATAAAACTTGCAGACAGCAGAAAATCATGTAATCTTTTGAACCAAGTCCGGGGGGCTTGTTTAAGACCGTATAACGACCATTGAAGATGACACACATGATCCGGGTGGACAGGGTCTTCATACCCAGGCGGTTGCTTCATATAAACTGTTTCAGCCAGGTGGCCGTTGAGAAAAGCGTTGTGGACATCTAGCTGTCGTAGAGTCCAGCCATTCGTCACAGCTAGAGAGAACAAAAGTCAGAATGTAGTCGGTTTGACCACAGGGCTGAAAGTGTCGAAAAAGTCTTCGCCAGCCACTTGATTGAACCCTTTGGCAACCAGTCGGGCTTTGTACCGTTCTACCGAGCCATCTGCAGCGCGTTTGGTTCAGAACACCCACTTGCACCCAACAACATTCATATGCGGCTTAGCTGGAACCAGACTCCACGTGTTGTTATGTAATAGGGCATTGAACTCCTGATCCATAGAATCACGCCACTGTGGATGCCCAACAGCCTGTGAGTAGCAGGTCGGATCAGTAGTTGCATTTAGGGCATGAAACTGTTCGCCTGTGCCCCGAGTCATGTGCCTAAGTAGCATAACATGCCCACGTTCCTGTGACTAAGGCTGCTGAACCCGAGTCCTGACTCGTCGTGGTTCAGTGGGGCCTTCAATGGCCATGGGAGGAGGATCCTGATCCAACGGCGTGGGACTGGGTAGACCCATAGGACCAGAGTGATCCGGCTGTACTGTGGATTGAACAGCATCCGAGAGTTGTGATATTATTGGTCCAGTGGCCCATGGCACCGGATGTGGAGCCGTAGGTGTTCTGGCCTGTAAAGTTAAGCCTGAAAACGGGAAAACGGATTCATTAAAACGCACATGGCGGCAGATATAGATCTTTCCACTCGTTAGGTCCATGCATCTGTAGCCCCTAAATGACGGCAGATACCCTAAGAAGACACAGGGTGCCGAGCGGTACTCTATCTTGTGCCGATTGTAGGGCCTGAGATAAGGGTAACACTAACACCCAAAAACTCGAAGAAACGTGTATGGAGGTGGGGTTTTATGTAGACGCGTATATGGGGTGTCAAATTTCAAGGCTGATGTGGGTAAGTAGTTTATTAGGCAAGTGGCTGTTTTGAAGGCATAATCCCAATATTGTTGTGGAACTGAACCTTTGGCCAACAAGGTTAACCCTGTTTCGACAATATGTCTGTTTTTACGTTCGACTTTGCCATTTTGTTCCTGCGTATACGCACAGGACTGGCGGTGAATAATGCCAGGCTGGGTGAAAATGTGATGCAGCTTGCGATATTCCCCGCCTAAATCAGATTGAATTGATTTGATAAAACGGGAGAATTGGCATTCTACCATGACTCGAAACGACTCGAAAGTTTTATATATATCATATTTTACCCGTAAGGGATAAAACCAACAGAACCGCGAATAATCGTCTACAAATAGTAAAAAGTATCTAAACATTCTAAACCCACTAGCCGAGATTACAGGAGCTGGGCCCCAGATGTCGGTATATAGCAAATCTAATACATTTTCACTAGAATATGAAACTCTATCTAATGGAAATCTAGATGCTTTCCCGAGGTGACAAGATGTGCATGATCCCAATGACTTGGCTTTATTTGGTGCAACTGGACATGACTTTAAAACGTGATTTTGGACGTGCGCATGCGGGTGGCCCAACCTACGGTGCCAAACTGCAGGAGATGCACGAGAAGTTAGGTAAGCAAAATGAGACTGAGAGACCAGGAGCCGGTATAAGCCGCCCGACGTAGGACCCTTAAGCAGCACTGCCCTGGTTATTGAATCCTTCAAAATAAAATAGTTCTTGTGAAATTAAAAAAAAAAAACACGTTATTTTCATTTGTAAACCAGTGAACAGATAGTAAAGGAACAGACAGTTTTGGGACATAAAGCACATTAGATAAATGTAATGGTTTGGACTCGGAAGGTACAGATGCATAACCAACGCGCAAAATTATCAAACCTGCGCCATTACCAACACGGAGGACATCCCCCCGTTATAATCGTCCGATTGCGTCAGCATGGATGGATCCGGCGTGGCATGGGCCGACCACCCGGTAGTTGAAGCTGTCGCCGCCGCATCCTCTCCGGAGACCACAAGGTTGGCATGAGCCGGCGGTTGCGGAGCATATCTCTTGTAGCAGTACAGTGCAGTATGTCCTTACGCCCGACAAATTTGACAACGCGGCGCTTCGCCGCGACCACCACGGCCGCGATTCTGTCCATTCCAGCCACGGCGCCGGGTAGTTGAAGCCACCGCGGCGTCCATCACCACGGCGCCGGGTATTCCGCCGCACTCGCGTTCCCCTGCAGGAGTGAGTGGAATTGGTCGAGCAGGCTGAGGCATCGTGCCCGAGTGGAGCTGCCAAGCGCCGCTCCGATAGACTCCCAGACTTCCCTAGATGTAGTCTTGCCGACCGCCAAGTGCATTACTTCATCGAACAATGAAGAAATAAGCAGAGACAGAAGAGATTGGTCCTGCTTGATCCAAGCTCTATACGTCGGATTCGGCGTTGGGACGATAGTGGTTGCGATGGAACCGAAATTGCCAGAGCCCGGAGCAGCATCGATCGTGGATGGCGGACACGGTGTATCCTCGTTGACGTAGCCGAGGAGCTCTTGGCCCGGAGAAACGGCACTAACTGGGTTCGCCAGAACAAAAAGTTATGGTAGGTGAGCTTTATCGAGACAAAGTGATGGGTACTCGATAAAGAGTTTTGGGAGGCGACCGGAGGTGCACCATCGTCGGCAGTAATAGTGCGCTCTGACGAGTTGGTGGACATGGTGGCGGCCGGATATTCTAGGGAAGGTGATCAGATAGTTTGCGGGGAGGAGAGGAGAGAGAGTATACTTGGTCTATCTAATACCAGATAGATAACTATTCTGATCTTTTAATCCCAAAAGGATAGGAGTTACAATATGAAAACAATAACAACTAACGTAAGATAATCCTATCTAACAGGAAAGCCATATAAAATAAACCTACTACAAAGCTAGTCAAAGATAATTAATAACAACAACAACAACAACAACAACAACAATAATAATAATAATAATAATAATAATAATAATAATAATAATAATATGGCTAACAATTAAGTATACAAATAATCTAATTTTAGTATATTAAAACTGTTTAATGTATTCAGGTAAAGTAAATTATTTGAGTACTGAATGTGTATTATTTTATATAATGTATATCTAGTATACGAATAATACACTTTTAGTATATTAAAAATATACTTTTTGTGGATCGTGTGGGTCTAAGCGGTGGTTTAGCGATGCTCTGGCGAGATGCTGATACGGTTTCTTTATTAAACTATTCTGTGAATCACATTGATGTAATGATCGACATCCCGGGAAAGCCGAGATGGAGGATAACTAGATTCTATGGACATCCGGATAGAATACATCGGCAGGACACATGGGACCTTCTGCGGCGGTATCTCAATGATCAATATACGCTCTCATGGCTTGTCGTGGGAGATTTTAACGACATCGCAGGCTTATCGGAGAAGATAGGCATTCATACGCATCCAGAGTCTCTCATTGAGGGTTTCAACGATGTTTTAGGTGACTGTCGACTCTACGATTTAGGGATGGTGGGAGGTAGGTTCACGTGGGAACGTGGACACGGCACTGCAGAGTGGGTAGAGGAAAGGTTAGACAGGGCGGTAGCAACGGTGGAGTGGATTGAGATTTATGAAGATGTAGTGGTTCAGAATCTGCATGCGTTATCATCGGACCACAATGCTATTTTTGTTGACGTGGAATCTAGACAGGTACGCACAGCCATGCACAGCTTTAAATTCGAAGCTGCCTGGTTTCTTGATGAAGGTTGTGCAAAAGTGGTAGAGGAGGCATGGCGTCAATCTGTGGGATTAGCATTTCAAGACCGAATTGGTCTTGACGGACAGCATTTATGGAGATGGGGTGGGAAACATTTCAGGTTCTTCGGCAACCGGATAAGACTGTTACGGCGCAAAATCGAAAAATTAAAAGAGAACCGTGATGTGCAGGCCGTGAATGAGTATTTAGCGGTTCGGGGGGAGTTGGATATTCTTTTAAAGCAGGAAGAGCTTTTTTGGCGGCAACGTTCAAAACAACTGTGGCTGAAACATGGCGATGCGAATACCAAATATTTCCACAAGGCAGCCACAATTCGTCGCAAGAACAACTATCTCCAACGCATCAAAGGCCGGGATGAGTACTGGAAAGAAGGGTCCGCCATGCACAGCGAAATCCTGAGGTATTTTGAATGCATCTTTTGCTCCAGTAATACTAGTTTGGATATTTTTCATCGTGTCCAAAAACGGGTAACTAATGAGATGAACATCTCCCTGTTGCAACCGTTCACGATGGCAGAGGTGAAAACGGCTCTATTTTCTATGGCTCCGAACAAGGCACCGGGCCCTGATGGCATGTCACCGGCCTTTTACCAACACTTTTGGCCGGTTTTAGGACATGACATGTCGGTGTTTATTTTAAATTGTGTAGCGAACAGGGCTTTTCCACCGGGTTTCAATACATCGAATATTGTATTACTTCCCAAGAAAAGATTTCCTGAGAAGGTGTCTGATTTGCGTCCGATAGCCCTTTGTAATGTAATTTACAAAGTGCTGGCCAAGATGTTGGCTAATCGGCTCAAAGGGACTTTGGAGTTAGTTGTTTCACAATCCCAAAGTGCCTTTGTCCCGGAGAGGCTCTTAACGGACAACATTATCATAGTAGGGGAAATTGGTCATTATCTAAGGAGAAAGACGTGTGGGAATTTGGGATGGACGGCCTTAAAACTAGACATGGCAAAGGCCTACGACAGGATGGAGTGGGGTTTTTTGGAGGGGATGTTGGGTGCATTGGGCTATGGGCATGAGTGGGTACAACTTCTGATGCTTTGTGTCTCGACCGTTAACTACACAATTCAGGTTAACGGTGAGGGCATTGGTACAGTGTGTCCTACGAGGGGGATAAGACAGGGAGACCCGTTATCCCCGTACCTTTTTATTCTCTGTGCCGAGGGCTTATCTATTCTGTTACAACAGGCGGAAGCGCGGGGTGACATTCATGGGGTTAGGGAGGCCCGGGGGCCCCGGCAGTCACCCACCTCTTTTTTGCTGATGACAGTTTACTTTTTTTCAGGGCAGTACAAAATGAAGCTCTAAAAATCAAAGAGTGCCTGGACCTGTACAGTGCGGCATCGGGTCAATTGATCAATCTAGACAAATCAAATGCTGTTTTTAGCCTCAATACTGCACCGGCTATGCGTGAACACATCTCGGGCTGTATTGGAGTTCAGATTGTGGACGATTTGGGCAAGTATTTGGGGCTCCCTTCGGTGCTGGGTCGAAACAAAACATCCACGTTTAAATATATTGAGGATAAGTTACGTGGGCGCATTGGAATGCGGCAACATAAACTCCTATCCCGGGCAGGTAAAGAGGTTCTTATCAAAAGCATAGCTCAATCCTTACCTATTTTTACTATGTCCACTTTCCTGTTGCCAAGGCGGACATGTAATTCCATTGAGAAATGTCTTAACCGATATTGGTGGGGAGGTGGGGGCACAAGGAATAGAGGGATTCATTGGTTGAGTTGGTCCAGATTATGTGCTCCAAAAGCGAAGGGTGGCTTGGGGTTTAAAAAATTGCATGAATTCAATATAGCCTTGCTTGCAAAGCAAGGGTGGCGTCTTCTAATCCATCCTGAATCCTTGGTTAGTCGGCTTCTTAAAGCGAAATATTTTCCAGGTACTGATTTTTTAGAAGCACGTGTAGGAAACAATCCTAGTTTCTTATGGCGAAGCATTATGGCAGGCCAGGAAATTCTGAAGATGGGGGTAGCTCGTCGCATCGGGAATGGGGCGGATACTAGAATTTGGGATTAGAGCTGGCTATCGGATAACTCTAATCCTCGTCTATACACGTCTTGTGTCGATGAGCTACGGGATGCCCCTGTGAGCGGCCTGTTGGATGCCGAGGGGAATTGGGATAGAGACATTGTTCAAGACATTTTTGTGGAGGAAGATGTTCAAAGAATTCTAGCAACACCTGTAAACTGCCAACTTAATGATTCCTGGCGTTGGATTGGAGACTTACGAGGAAGATATACGGTACGACATGGCTACCGTTTGATCATGGGCAACCAATGGCAAACTGATGCGATTGAGGGCTTCCAGACTTTGACAAAACTTTGGTCACTGCCAATACCACCAAAGGTGAAAAACTTACTATGGCGATGTGCCCGGGGGGTGCTTCCAGTTCGCGAGAACCTGAAAACAAAACGTGTGGCTAGGTGGGGGTTGCCCATTGTGCGGCTTCGTGACCGAGACGGTAGAACACTTATTTGGCGACTGTTGGTACGCATCGGACCTTTGGGGGCAACGTGATTTCATTCGGGGTGATCGTTACCAGTGGACATGAACTCAGTCCTAGAGGGCTCAGACATGGGAGCAATCATAACGATGGCAGCCATTATGGAGGTGGTTTGGGCAACGAGGAATGCGGTTGTTTGGCGTAACACTTCGCCAGCCTTGACTATGATGCGTGATCAGGTACATAAATTGCGCTCAACTTAGCAGGAATGTTTTCGTAGATCTGGACGGGATGGAAATAACAGTGTAGCTGCTGGATGGAGTCCACCACCGGGTGGTAAACTGAAGTGCAACGTCGACGCCGCGGTCTTCTCAGGTGGAATAGGATATGGCGTTGTCCTCCGGGACCATACCGGCAGTTTCGTGGCAGCAAAGGGGGGTCATGTTGAGGGCGTGCGTGACCCGTTCACGGCGGAGGCGATTGCAGTGAAGGAGGCCCTGTCTTGGCTAAAAGGATCGCAATATAATAATGTCATTATTGAGACTGACTATTTAAATTTTTGTAATGCTTTTAATTCGTGCTTGTCTGATTATTCGTACATAGGTTTAATTGTAAAGCAATGTTTATATATTGCAAATGATATTGGGGACGTCTGTGTCCACCATATCATGAGATCAGCGAATTGAGTGGCTCATGAGTTAGCACGGGCAACTGGTTCTTCGGCTGTCTCGGGTGAGTGGGCTGTTATCCCGCCTACGTGTATCTCTGGATTTCTGAATTATTAATGAAATATTTCTCGTTTTTGTTAAAAAAAAAATTATACTTTTTACTATGATCCACACAATAATTTGCCTAAGAAATAGGAATAATCCAAAATTTATAGCCAAAAATCTTTCTCAAACCGTTAATCCATTATGCAATGTTAGAATTATCCATCTAGAATTTCCTCAGTTAGGCGCACCCTCAACACAAGAATAAAACAAAAATCTTGGTTCGCGACACTACTGCAGAGCCAAAAATGCACCATAGCCTAGCCATCCAACTTCTAATTCCCTTTGAAATTGGGATGACAATTTGCCTCGTCTTCGACGGGAATCATGATCCCCGTCCCAACAAAAATAGAGATGGAAGAAATTTTTGAGAAACATGGAGCAGGGACGGAGAATGTATGTAATTTTTCGTCGAGGACGGGGATACCCCTCTCCGCCTTGCCTCGTTCACGAATAATTATTATAATTAAAATAAATAATATACATATATATATATATATATATATATATATATATATATATATATATATATATTATTAATTTTTTAAATTAAGACTTAAGTTTTAAATTTTTAAAATTAAAAATTACACTAATTTAAGATTTTGACTAATAATTGATCTTGATCGGGACGGAGAATATCCGTCCTCACCAAATTTCCTGCGAGAACGGGGATGTAAACTATTTTCAATTTCCTTCTAGGGATGGGGACGGGAAGTATACTCCCCGCCCCCGTCCCGCCCCGTTGCCATCTCTACTTTGAAAGCATACATTGAAGATTTGCAAATATATTAAATTACTGTGCATTACAATAATGTTATCAATGCATCATGCTTGTAGCACAATGCTCTTACATACAAGCTCTCATTTGTAATGAATAAAGTCAAAAGTGGAAAGAGACTAAGGTTTGGGGGTTAAGGTTTTAGGCTAAAGTTTGGGGGGCTAAGGTTTTAGGCTAAGGTATTAAAGAATTGTCAGGAATGCAATTAACTAGCAGCAAATGTTGACAAAGGAATTTGCAACTTAGTCCCTAGACTTTTGGTTATCTACAAAATGACCCACAATCTCCTACTATAAATACGGAGTTCATTTTGTCATTCTGATCATCCCATCTCATCCCATCTTGTATCTCTTTAGATAGTTTAGCATAGAAATTGCTAGTAGAGAGAAATAGAGAGTTATATTGTAACTCTTATTGTATTATTTTCTTTTTGCCAATACAAAAATCCCTCTTCAATATTGTCTTATTGTGTGTATGATTTATTCTAAATCTTACACTAGAAATATTCTCAATATTTCCCACCCAAGTTGCTATTGTAATTAGGTGTTGTGAACCGTATCGATCCTAACAAGTAGTATCAGAGCCCCAGGTTGGTTCATAGATATATCTTTATTGTATCGTTTATGTTAGAACTCATTCTGGTAAAGTGATTGTACATGTCTAGGAAAAGCTCTGGTTAAGACTTGATATTTAAGCAGTCCATTTGTGACTCACCTCTCTTCTCCAGAAATATTTTCCTGGTGCACGATTCACAGGGCCGGGAGTGTTCTATTATACGATACTATTTAGATATATTGTTCAGGATTTGAATCAAGAACACCACTTACAATGGCGGCAAAGTATGAGATTGAAAAGTTCAAGGGGAACAATTTCTCAATGTGGAAAATGAGAATGAAAGCAGTTCTCAGGAAAAAGAGTTAAATCCACTTTTGGTCCTACATTTATTGCACATTGGACACATTTTGTCTGTTTTTTATTAATTTTGCCACATTTTGCCCAGACTTTATAAAAGTTAGACACTTTTAGTCCACCGTTACATTTGGCGTTAAACAACCGTGAAGTATGAGGGCGTTTATGTCCTTTCATGTCCATGCGCCCTTTGTGCTAGAACTTTGAGACAGTTTTGCGTTCCATAAGTGCTTCAATCTTCCTAACCCTCTCGCGCTCCATCTACATAAGCAAATCAACAAATGCCTTGCGGCCTCTGATGAAGCGAAGCAATTTCACGGCAGCGGGGAGTGATCGGACGGAGTTCTAACTCGCGGCAATGGGGATTCAATGCCTCCGTGATCACTGTGATTTTCTTCGTTGATGTTGCAGGTAAGTTTTTTTATGATATCGACGACCTTCAGCCTCTCTCTCTCTCTCTCCGAGGCATCGGAGTCTTTGTCGTGCAAAGGAGGCGTCGTCCTGTCGGATTCCCCGTCGCTGGAGGATGGTTGCACGCGCCTTCCATCGATTGAAGAATCACCACACAGTGTAGAGGCGGTGGAATTGCTTCTAGAGATGTTGATAGACGAGATGTTGTTGTTGTTGTTGGCGGCGGCGACAACGGAATTGACGATTTTTGCAACCACTCCGAAGTCTCTCCACCGCCGCACGAGGGAGGAGACGCCGCCGAAATTAGGAACCTCACCGCCGAGGCATCCGACCTGGACGGAGAGTTCTCCGATTTATTCTCACCTGCGTTTTTCCCCTCCCTAGAAAACACAATTTCTCCGACTTTATCCCAATTACCAGAATCCTCAATACTCGTATTCCTCTCATCATTCCTACGCGTTTTGTCCAAATATTGGGGTTCAAAGGTCTGTAATGTCAATCACAAGACCGTTTTCATCGGAATCTGAATCGTTCCCCCGCCGATTGGACCTGGGTAGTCGCCATTTTTGTTCTCCTCAACAAATTTCTACGCAGACAACAAAATTATCAACAATGGTGTACGGCAGCCTCAAGATTCCAATGCTTTTCCAGGCTAAAGAAAACAACCCATTCGGCTCAGATGGGCAGAAAATCTGAAAAACCATGAAGAACAGTCAATGCAGAGATTACAAACATCCATCCTGAAGACCAAAGCTTCTTCTCGGGTAAAAAAGAAATAACCCATTCTTCTTTCCCCATCCAAATAAATATAAAAGGAAATGGACATGAAAGGACATAAATGCCCTCCTACTTCACGGCTATTTAACGGTAAATGTAACAACGGACTAAAAGTGTCCAACTTTTATAAAGTCTGGGTAATATGTGGCAAAATTAATAAAAGCGGACAAAATGTGTCCAATGCACAATAAATGTAGGACCAAAAGTGGATTTAACTCCAGGAAAAATAACTGCTTAGCAGCAATTGAAGAAAGACCAGCCGACTTCACTGACGATGCTAAGTGGAAAGAAATGGATAGTGACGCTATTGCCGATCTTCACTTAGCACTTGCTGATGAAGTCCTGTCAAGTGTGGAAGAGAAAAGTACGGCAAAAGAGATATGAGATACTCTCGTAAATTTGTATGAGGCCAAATCACTACACAACAAGATCTTCTTGAAGAGGAAGCTATACATTCTCAGGATGATGGAGACATCCACGGTAACTGAGCACATCAACATTCTCAACACTTTATTTTCACAACTCTCGGCGTTGAGTTATAAAATAGACGTGAATGAACGTGCTGAAATTTTACTCCAAAGTCTACCAGATTCATACGATCAACTCATTATCAATCTAGTCAACAAGAAGGAGGTACTTGTCTTCGATGACATTGCAGGTGCAGTTCTTCAAAAAGAAAGTCGACGCAAAAACAAAGAAGATAAAGTTGAAACCTCACAACAAACTCAGGCGTTGACTGTAACAAGAGGAAGATCAATAGAGTCTCGCTCCAGTGGGAGTCACAACTGAGGTATATCAAAGTCAAGGGGTAAGAAGAATGTCAAGTGCTTTCACTGTGGCAAAAAGGGACACTATAAGAATGATTGTTGGCAGCTCAAGAAGGATGGGGCCAAAGGCAAAAATCCCGAGACATCAAATGCTCAGGGATGTGTTGTGAGTACATCGGATGGAGGCGAAGTTTTATTTGGTGAAGCAACAACAATTTTTGAAGGCAAGAAAAGTCTAGCAGATGTCTGGCTCATGGACTCAGGAGCAACATGGCATATGACCTCACAAAGAGAATGGTTTCATGAATATGAACCTGTCTCTGGAGGATCAGTGTTCATGGGAGATGATCATGCCTTAGAGATTGCTGGCATTGGTACAATCAAACTAAAAATGTTTGATGGTACGGTTCGCACTATCCAAGAGGTACAACACGTGAAAGGCCTAAAGAAAAATCTATTGTCTTTATGACAATTAGATAACCGTGAATGTAAGATTCACATTCAAAATGGGATCATCAAAGTAACCAAGGGCGCGCTTGTTGTGATTAAAGTTGAAAAGATAGCGGCCAATCTATACATGCTTAAAGGAAAAACACAACTACAAGGAGAAGCAGATGTTGCATCCGACAATCTTATAGAGGAATCAACAATGATGTGGCATCAAAAACTTGGCCACATGTCGGAACGAGGTCAAAAGATTCTTGCTGATCAACATCTTCTTCCGGGGCTAAAGAAGGTTTCATTACCTTTTTGTGAACATTGTGTTACAAGCAAGCAACATAGATTGAAGTTCGAGGGCTCCAAAGCAAGAAGCAGAGCTATCTTGGAGCTAATCCACTCCGATGTTTGGCAAGCACCAGTTATATCCCTAGGAGGTGCAAAGTATTTTGTATCCTTCATAGACGACTACTCCAGGAGATGTTGGGTGTATCCAATCAAGCGGAAGGCGGATGTATTTGAAGTTTTCAAAATCTTCAAAGCGCGTGTGGAACTTGAATTTGAGAAAAGGATCAAGTGTTTAAGGTCGGATAATGGAGGAGAATATACTAGTGATGAGTTTGATAAATTTTGGCTACAAGAAGGTATCAAATGACAGTTCACGGTGGCATATACTCCACAACAAAATGGAGTGGCAGAGCGGATGAACAGAACCTTATTGGAAAAAACAAGGGCAATGTTGAGAACTGCAAAATTGGCAAATTCATTTTGGGCTGAAGCAGTCAAAACCGCCTGTTATGTGATCAATCGGTCACCATCAACTGCAATTGATCTGAAAACGCCAATGGAAATGTGGAGTGGTAAGCCATCTAGTTATTCTCACTTGCATACATTTGGGAGTCTGGCATATGTGATATACAACACTCAAGAAACATCAAAACTTGATTCTAAATCAAGAAAATGTGTTTTCTTGGGGTATGCTGATGGAGTGAAGGGGTATCGCTTGTGGGGTCCCACTGCCCACAAGGTTATCATCAGTAGGGATGTTGTATTTGTAGAAGATAAGGTACAAGGAAGTGAAAATACTGGGAAGGATAAACCAGAGACAACTACATACAAATTGAAGGAAGGAAGGAAGAAGAAATTCCAGATTCCTTTGAAGCAACAATAGAGCATGATGAACAAAATCAAGCTGGGTCTTCAACTTCCGAAGTTCGACGATCAACTCGGGAGAGGAGATAACCAGCTTGGCACTCAGATTATTCTATGGAGGGAAATGTTGCATACTGTCAACTAACAGAAGATGGTGAGCCATTAACTTACAATGAAGCTATGAAAGGTCCAGATGCATCTCTGTGGATGACAGCAATGCAAGAAGAAATTGAAGCTCTCCATAAGAATAAAACATGGGAACTTGTCCAGTTACCACAAGGAAGGAAAGCTATTGGAAACAAATGGGTCTATAAGATCAAACGAGATAACAATAATCAAGTGGAACGGTATCGTGCTGGATTAGTTGTGAAAGGATTTGCTCAGAAAGAAGGAGTTGATTTCAACGAGATATTTTCTCCGGTTGTACGACTTACAACAATTAGAGCAGTCTTGGCGATGTGTGCTGTGTTTGACTTGTATCTTGAGCAGTTGGATGTGAAAACTGCATTTCTACATGGAGAACTTGAATTAGAAATTTACATGCTCCAACTAGAAGGATTTGAAGAAGATGGAAAAGAGAACTTGGTTTGCATGTTGAACAAACCTCTATACGGTCTCAAACAGGCGCCGAGATGTTGGTATAAGAGATTTGATTCATTCATTTTGAGATTTGGATACAATAGATTTAATTCAGATCCTTGTGCATATCACAAGAGATTTGATGATAATCAGTTTATCATTTTGCTATTGTATGTTGACGACATGTTGGTAGTAGGTCCCAACAATGATCGTATCACGGAGATGAAGGCTCAATTAGCTAGGGAATTAGAAATGAAAGACTTGGGACAAGCAAACAAGATTCTAGGGATGCAAATTCACCGAGACAGAAATAGTAGGAAGATTTGGCTTTCTCAGCAGAATTACTTGAAGAAAATATTGCGGTGTTTCAACATGTAAGATTGTAAGCCAATTTCTACCCCTCTTTCTATTAATTTCAAGTTATCATCAAGTATGAGTCCTAGCAACGAAATAGAGAGGATGGAGATGTCTCGAGTACCGTATGCATCAGAGTGGGCAATTTAATGTTTGCTATGATTTGCACCAGACCGGACATTGCACAAGCAGTATGAGCGGCCAGTCGATAACTCGATACATGGTAAATCCTGGTAGAGAGCATTGGAATGTTGTTAAGAGGATCCTTAGATATATCAAGGGTACCTCAGATATTGCATTGTGTTATGGAGGATCAAAATTATAGTCAGTTGTGGTAACTTCAACGACAGAAGCAGAATATATAGCTGCTACTCAAGCTAGTAAAGTGGCAATATGGTTGCAAATGCTATTGGAGGAGCTCGGGCACAAAGTAGAGAAAATGACTCTATTTTATGACAATCAGAGCGCTTTGTACTTAACAAAGAATCCAGCATTTCATTCCAAAACGAAACACATATGAGTTCAATATCACTTTGTTCGTGAAAAGGTGGAAGAAGGAAGTGTGCATATACGAAAAATCCATACTAAAGATAACCTGGCAGATATGTTGACAAAGACGATTACCAACGATAAGTTCATATGGTGTAGATCCTCAATTGGCCTAACAAGTATGCAAACAGCAGAGAATTGGCAAAAGGAATGAAGATCCACATTATGACTTTAAGTAGGAGATTTGTAATGAATAAAGTCAAAAGTGGAAAGAGGCTAAGGTTTGGGGGTTAAGGTTTTAGGCTAAGGTATTAAAGAATTGTCAGCAATGCAGTTAGCTAGCAGCAAATGTTGACAAAGGAATTTGCAACTTAGTCCCTAGACTTTTGGCTATCTACAAAATGACCCCTAATCTCCCACTATAAATACGGAGTTCATTTTTGTCATTCTGATCATCCCATCTTGTATCTCTTTAGACAGTTTAGCATAGAAATTGCAAGTAGAGAGAAATAGAGAGTTATATTGTAACTCCTATTATATTATTTTCTTTTTCCCAATACAAAAATCCCTCTTCAATATTGCCTTATTGTGTGTATGATTTATTCTAAATCTTACACTAGAAATATTCTCAATATTTCCCGCCCAAGTTGCTATTATAATTAGGTGTTGTGAACCGTATCGATCCTAACATCATTTAATTTTTTTGCCATTGCTTGTGAAATTTTATGTGTACAGAGTCTTTAATTAAAGCATTGAACTTGTATAAAATGAATGTGCATTATAGTAATGTTGTTTTTACATCTTGCTTGTAGCATAGTGCTCATACATATGAGGCTATGAGCTCTTTAAATTTTGCCTCTGCCTGTGTAATCTAGTATGGGTGAAGATAGAGTCTACACTTGAAACAGTATTAAATGAGTGTAATTACAATAATGTTGACAGTGCATCTTGCTTGTAGAATAGAGCTTACACATGAGTAATTGTTTGAGTTTTTTTCCCTCTACATGTATAATCTTAATTGGTGGAAATTAAATAAGGCCTATATATACTACGACTACACTTATCTGATGAAGCTTGGGAAGAAAATAGGTGAACCAAAATACGTGGATGAGGCGACGAGTGTTGGCTCACGAGGACGTTTTGCGAGAATGTGCATAGAAGTGGACATAACGAAGCCGCTCCTGTCTAAATTCACACCAAAGCTGAAGGTTAGGAGGATCGAGTATGAAGGAATCAATCTGATCTGCTTCCATTGCGGTACGTATGGGCACTCGGCGGAGAAATGTAGCCAACGTCAGGTGGCGGAGGAAAGTGGTGGAACGACGGAATCCGGCGGCTGTCTCAGCGGAGATGGACGAGAACAAAATATGGAAACAGACAAACCATTAGAAATCAGGCCGGAGATCGTGGAGAGATTCGGTGCTTGGATGATCGCTCCAAAAAGGCAGTACCAGAAATATGATGCGCAAAATGGAAAGAATATAATGACAAATGGGAAAGAAATTAATGGGGTAAAAGGACCTAACGGCTACAAGCAGGCTGAGAAAGGCAAGAAAAATGAAAAGAATAAAGGAAAAGAAGTCGCAGATCATGGGATTGGATCCGAGTCCATGTTTGCGGTTCTTAACGTGGAGGATATGGAGGTAATAGAAGTGCCAACTGCGGAGCTAATTAAGGAGAATCAAGCAGAGTCACATATGCATAACAAAGGGAAAATGACGCAGAAAAAAAAAAAAAAAGGATACTAATAGGAGACCTAATGTGCAAGCTTCTGAGAAACAAATAATGAATAATGGCTCTGCAAAGACAACTAGCATGCATGCAGCGACTTCCAAGAAAGCGAACACAAGCACAACGTCAAGCTCATCAAGGAAACGGAATAAGCCTAACTAGGCGGTAGCCGGGGAAACTCACACGGTGGCACGAGGGAATCTAAATGATAAAGCGTCTGTAAGCACAACTTACCTGAACAACATCGAAAATCCTCCCCCACTGAATGGTAGGGATGAGGATGAGCTAGAACACCATGGTGACCCCCCGAACCTCAATGAGGATCATATGGAGGAGGAACCGTGGCATGAGTGTACCGAGGATGAGGGCCATGGTGGCACCCCGGAAGGGGTTGTTGCCTAGGTCCTTTTGCGTTTGTCTTTGTTGTTTTTGTGTTTGTTGCCCTTGTTGTGTCTCTCATGAAGATCATTACTTGGAATTGCCAAGGTGCAGCTTCTAAGAGGTTTCTTAGGGCTGCCATGATCCTCATCAGACAACATAGGCCTAACTGTTTTTGTGTCCTTGAGCCTAAGTCTTCAGGTACAGGGGCAGATGAGACTTGTTTAAAAGTTGGGTTTGATCAATGGTTGAGAATTGAAGCGGTGGGTTTGAGCGAAGGAATCTGGATCCTCTGGAACAACTCACTCAACGTGACTTTTAAATGCACCAACTCTCAATTTGTGATCATGGAACTAAGGAACAACAAGAACATGTTGTGGAACGTGGCAGTTGTGTACGCCAGCCCTTCCTTTAATCTTCGACGGCAACTTTGGTCGGAACTTGGGAGGGAACAAAATAGCTTGGAGGAGGCGTGGGTCACGCTAGGGGACTTTAACTCAGTTGCGTGCAGTGAGGAGGTTAACTGTTCCGAAAATTTTAATATCCGGAGAAGTAAGGATTTTACGAACTGGATTAATCATGAAAGCCTGATTGATTTACAGGGTGTTTGGTTGGAAGGAAGGAATTAAGGGGGAAAGGAATTATAATTCGGTGGGAAAAGAATAAGGTGAGAATAAAGTAGGAATTACAATTACATTGTTTGGTAGGGAGGAATAATGAAAATGGGAGAAGTGATATAAAGACTAAAATACCCTTTGTGTAATAATATTAATAATAACATTCAGGGACAAATATGTCTTTTCCTTCCCTTTCCCTTTGCATGAATTCATTGAATTGCAATTCATAGGGGGGGGGGGGGGGGACCTATGAATTGCAATTCAATGAATTGAGGGAATTGCAATTCCCTCCAACCAAACAATGTAGTTTATCATTTCATTGAATTGCAATTCAACTCCAACACAATTCATGCCAACCAAACACCCCCTTAGGTTCCAACGAAAGGTTCTCCATGGCTGGCCGGAGACAAAGGGGTCTCCAACAGTTTTTTTTATTTAAAATATTTATTTAATTAAAAATTATTTTAAAAAATTTAAAATTGTTTTAAAATAAAGGAACCGACATGTCATCATATTAAAAGGCAAACAAGTCATTTTAGATCAAATTGTAAGAATTTGTGTTGTTCAGGGACCAATTATTATTTTTTTGAGTTCAGTGATCTAATTATAGTTTGGTATGTAGTTGAATGACCTATTTGATCCTTATTCCAATAATTGTTGGACATTTTTTTTTAGTTCGAGTTATAGACCTAACTTTATTGACTCTTATTAGTGTGTGTATATATAGAGTAGATAAAAATTACAAGTTAAAAACTATTTTTTACATCTTGTATTATAATTATTATAAATATTTATTACTATTATAAATTTTAATCTATAATTTTATTTTAATATCAATAATAATTACTATCACCTTTAAGATAATTACTATTTTTAAAAATAATTTTATAACAAATTTATGTTAATAATTTAAAAAATGAATCAAATAAAAAGAATACAATTTTTAAATTTTTAATAAAAAAATTATTTTATGAGTTTTAGCCGAACATCCAAAATTAACATATTTTTTTTAAAAAATAAATCATTTCCCAAATATATTTTTTTTGGGTGTTTCCAAAGTCCAAACAATCTTAAGATTCCATAAATCTTTGGACAACGAATATCAAATGAGAAGACCTACAAAACTACAAAACCACAAACTCGAATGAGTAAACCGTAAACGACTAACGTCTAGGGGTTTCTGTATAAATACTACAGATTGTAAAAAGCTGTTCAATGTCATATGACATTTTAGTCCATTCATAGAATCATATTAGGTGCATTAAATTATCTGTGTTATATACCAAGAACCTTGTGGTTCATTGGTATCCGGTTGCTCTTCTATGTGGAAGGTGAGTTAAAAAAAATTATCTGTGTTATTATTTAAATTTGGTAAATTTCTTTCTTATATATCGGTTGAAGTAAAAAATTAAGAAAAATACGTGCATGGTTAATAAAAGACTACCAACATGGCAACATGTTTGGTTTATTAAATATGTCTAATCTGGAATGAAATAACATTCCTAGAATAGATTTATTCCGTTATTTAGTAAGTTATTTTATTTTATTCTCAAAAAAGTTATTTCTAGCAGGGGGTCTCTTGTCTTTTGTGACAATTTCATGTTTAGTACCATACTATTGTTTTTGCCAAAAAAAAAAAAAAAAAAAAAACGCTCAAAACTATTAAATTTTGAACACTTGTGTTCCTTTCGATACCTTTTTTGATGAAACTCCATTTTAGGCAAGGGTAATTTGGTCTAA